GTGAATGGTGTCATCGCCGTCATCGCCACCTTCGTCCTTAGTGGTGTAGCCAGGGACAAGATCTGGTGTACTTTTAAACGATGAAAAGAGAGGAGCCTGCGCACTATTTGGTGCGGGTATATCATGGAGAGGAATTTGGGGAGCAATTATGTCGCTATGAATAGCCATCTGCTCTGGTGGGGGAAGCTGCGATAGCGGATATCTTGCAGCATCAAAAACAGGTCCTCCAGTGTTGATTAATTGGAGTACTCTTTTCGCGGATTCGTAAGGCACATCTTTAATATACAGGAACTTGCTGACGAATGGTGAAATAATATATGTTGTGTCGGTCGTAAAAGAACCCTTGAAAATATCAAATCTCATGGCTCCAGTGTTCGTTAATGCAAGCCTCGGGACATCCTTTCGGGCTTTGTTGACGACTACATCTGGTATGACATCTCTCTCGAGCCAGTTGAAGATACTATCATTGCTAGGATGAGGAGCTCTGCTAAGCCATAGATCTTTTGGAGCACAGCCAAAACTGTAATCCAAATCTAGTGTTTTCCTCGCTTTATGAATCATCCTCGAGACATTTTTACCGTGCTCGGTAGGAAATGCAGTTTCGTTCAAACCTGTATGGTAATGGTATCCGAAAAGATTGTTATCAATGTATCTTCGTCGAAAAGACATGCTTGCTCGAGGCTCAACCGTGGTAGATCTTCCTTTCTCCCCTCTGCTGGGGAGCCCTTCAATAGCCATCCATCCAACAGTCTCCATATAGCGGCCACTCTGAAGTGCATATGCCTTGCTATCATACCTTGCGAAGTCTCGAATGTGGCTATGCCCACCAAAGAATTGAATAGGTGTATCCCATTTCTGACTCCTGATCGCCTTGTAAATCGCTTTGTACTCTGGTCCATGAAGTGTGACATGGCCAATTACTACGAAGATATCCACATCCTCTCTGATAGCCTCTTGGAACCAAGATTCTTCGATCGTCTTCTCTACGGGCTGAACCACAGTATTATTGGCATTTCCGGTGAAGTCGAATAGAAACCCGAATGCTAGCACTCGTATTCCCCGATTCTTCGTTGTAAACTTTCGATATCGCTGAGCCATGGGGACTATCTCCCCCGTTTTCGGGTTGATATAGTCCAAATTTGAAGCAAGATATTTGCCCTTAAAGTTTGGCACTGTTTGGTAGTATTCCTGCGTCGCAGTTTCAGCTTGGTAAAGTTCATGGTTGCCTGTACAGATAATGTCGATGTCCTGTTCCTTTACGATATCGTAGAAATATTTCCCTTTCGGATCGGATCCATCATATAGACCGTTTCCCTCGACTCGATCGCCAGTATCAACCAAAAGAACATCTACCCCAAGTCCATCTGCTTTCTCCCGCATTCGCTCAGCGAAAGAGATATAGTCGCCCCAGTCCGCAGAGTATTGCGCCCTATGTTCAGTCAAATAGTGTTTGCAGGATAGCTCCAGAAGTCCTTACTCTTGCAAGTGCCCAGCCTGCCAGCCATGTGTATCTGTCGTCTGTAGGAAGTTAAGATCGCCCCAGGGCAGCGATCTCATCGGAGCAGTGACCGGCTGTGGTGCTGACGGCTGCTCAGCTGCTGCCAGACACAACAAAGTCGTGATCACAACATTTCGAGTTAACACCATTTTGTTGATCATGTGTGAGATAGGTTGGTGTGTTGGGAACTCAGGAGGAATGAATTCACTAGGTTGTTTACTTTACTCAGGTTAACTCGTTGACGCAAACTGTGGGGAACCAGCCGACGATTTCCGCTATCCGGGCAGGGGTAGCTCGATAGCTTCCAGCCTCCAGAATACTTCGTCACGTTTCACTTACCCCACTACTATTTAGAACTCAGCCCTCCAACGTTTCACTTGCTCTATATTGCTACTATTTGCCGTAACGAGTTGGAATCGCTCAAGTTCTTCTCCGTCAACCATACCACAATTTTCACTGACGAATACTACATTCTTCAACCTACTTCACGTCGATAAGCATTTATTTTCCTGTTGGATCATACAATCTGTAATTACGCTTCCTCAGGCTACTTTGCGATTTGTCTGCCGTTGTGATTTAAGAGGTTGAAGGGTCAGGTATATTTCATACTTGTTGCTCGTTTTGATAAAGCAATGCCGTCAACAGTTGAATTGCACGCTCTTGGCCTTTTTGCCCTCCAGACGTGTTGAAGGAATCGCCGGTTTATCTTGTGCTCTTCAAGCGTAACATATCCACTCCATTAGCTGAGAATATTCTTCTATATCGATGGGTTGGTTATGTTTTCTCTCGCATATGTATTGTCAATCTTCTTCATGTGACTAAATTCAAGTCCTACCCAGCCGTTATATAACTTTATCGCACCTACGCTATCTAGGAAGCCCTTATCCTCGTCATGGTCTCTTAATACTTTTGACTCTTGTTTTGCCCTGTCAGATCCTTCTATTTTATCTCATGCGAACCTACCTGAAAGGAGTTCAATGGTTGTCATGCTTATTGGCTTGAAGTCTTCCCCGCATCCTGTTGCTATGCAAGTCAGCCTCTTCCCAGTACGGAACATCTTATCCGGGCGATAACAAGACTCTCTCCAAGGCGATATAGGCAGATATTTGAGGGATTTCTAGGGTACCATGCTAGATATATGAGCTATCGGTGACTTCGAGGCATAAATACCGACGCTTACGAGTCTTCTCAAGGATACTGTCAGGTGACAACTATCTCTTTAAGTCTCTCACGGTACAGTAGTTGCTCATAGATCAGCAATATCGGGAAGCTAACGCCGGCAGTATAAAGCCAAGACTAAGTACCTGGTCTCATTGTAAACATGGCGTAACCTATTCTCCGAGTTTCCGGCCTCGATATTGCAATATGAGATTATACCTAACTTTCAGGACGTTTGAGAATTTCTCGGAGAGTCATTCCTCCAACAAATGTCGTCATTACTTACAATAACGTTATGGGCAATGTGTATGCTGCTCGAAAAGGAAGTCTGAACGGCTAAAGAGATTTGGAGTACATTCTTGGAGTACAGTGATGGAAATGCAGCTATAAGAGCAGCCATTTCGTTCCATACTGATATGAATGATTCTTTACCTCGTACCTCTCTTCTACCTTGAATCAAACAGTGAACATTTTCACCAGCTACGCCACCACTAAAATGCAGTTCAGACTTTCGATCTCAGCCGTGGTAACTCTGGCAAGCTTATGCTTCACCTCACCTACTCCCGAAAGCAGCCCAACTCTCACCTCCACCTCCTCTCCTAAGGCTTCCTCTACGCGGGGTCCTGATCCTGAGTTCCCCATTCCGGGGGAGGTTCCATTCAACACCACTTTCCCAAACACTGACTATGCCCTCATTGCTGCACTTAAGACGTCACCAAACGCAGTGACTCGTATTGCATTGCTACGAGACGAGCAATTCAAGTTTGATTTCTTGAACCCACCTGCACAAGGTTTTGCTACGCTCGAGGGCCGAGGAGGCAAACTGGTTAATGCATTTAGCATTACTTTCCCTGCATTGGTAGGGAATAATATGGCAATGGCTGTTGGCTTCACTAAGCCTTGTGGGTGAGCCTCCTCAGATAATAGTCTTTTATGGAAATGTGAAAATAACAAAGAAAAGTTTCAACACACCACACACTCACCCTCGGGCAACAGAATTGTCCATCGTCGTAAATGTAAGTACCTCCCATGGACTATACTGCTTACTCATCCGCTCCCTTCCTAACTACAACCCCAGGGTTCAATGATCTCAGAATTCGTCTCCGAAACCGGCACCCGCAAAGTCCGTAATGTTCACTCAACCTATTCCATGGTTCTCTTCCCCGCTGGTGCCCTCCACCTAGAATTCAACCCTAATTGCGAGCCTATGACATTTGTTGCCGCTTTCAACAGTGAGGATCCAGGCATTAACACTCCAGCTGAGAGTCTGTTCATGCTTGACGATGATTTAGTTGGATTGGCGACGGGATTGGAGTTTCTTGAGGGAGCCGATATTGATCTGTATAGGCATTTAGTGCCTAGTAGTTTGGCACAGGGGGTTGAGAGTTGCTTGACCAAGTGTGGGATTAAAAAGACGGCTAAGGTTTAAAAAATATATTAGTGAGGAGGGGTAAAGATCATACTTCTGTTGTAGGGGAATTTAGAAAGTAAGGCTTCGATTTCATTTTTAGGCTCTCATTGGCTGAATAGTGCATGGTACGAAGGTTTTGAATAACCCAAAAAAAAGATGAGAAGAGAGAATTGCTGCCTCTCCTTCTTTTCAAATATATGAAGATATTTTTGAGTTATTCTTATTAAATTAAGACCAGTGAAATTGGACATGTCAAAAACATCAGCTTGACGAGTTTCTACACACTGTTTGATCCTATTGCGAAACTACACTCTCGTATGTGAGATTAGATATAAACTAAGATATATTTTTCACAGATCAGATACTAAAGTCAGGCTTGGGATTTCCGACCAAGCAAGATTGAAATCCATAATGTTCTCCAGCTGTTTATTCTGATTCTGAAAGTTTATCTTCTCTGATCCCTAAAGACAAATATTTGAGCTATGGCCTGACTTATCTTTTAGGTTATTTGAATAATCACCTAGATCATGCGCATCAAACCTCTACAAAGAGCTTGCTCTAAAAAAACCATAAAATTTTATAAGGCAAAAATACCCTGTTGCAAAGTAAGCGAAGCATTCAGAAAGGGGCCACGGAGATGAACTTCGCAAGCGAATATCAGACGGATTTCACGTATCAAAATACTTTGACTAACATTCCAATCTATACTAGAGTATATCATCAACAGGTAAATTCTAAGTATCATAGCCACATTTTAATTTCCACTAGCCACGTTGGCGTTTTACCCACTCCGCACATGCGACGTGACTCAGAAAACCCTATGAAGATAAGCGAGCACACCGCCCCACAAAACCACCCACAAAACCATTGTTCACTGGTCCCTCACCCAAATTCCTTTGTATATATCTATAAACGCAGTTTTCTAATAAAAATGGCCTGATAGTTCAGTGGTAGAATTCTTGCTTTGGGTGTGAGAGTCCCGTGACTCTCAATCGGCACAATTGTAAGAGGTCTCCGGTTCGATCCCGGATTAGGCCCTGCGATGTAAATTTTTTTGCTTTGTTAAAAACTCTTTTTGTGAGTTAGAAGAGGGGAGTAGAAAAATAATGGGGAAACTCTTTTAGTTCCTTGCCCTGTTTGTGGGTGTTTGCAAATTTTTTCGCTAATGAGGCCAAACTGGGTGAGTTGCGGATACATGTAGGTGCAGAAGAGTCATATATATATATATATAGCCATGGAGCTTCATTTGTCGATAGTATTCTACAAATATTGGGAGGATAATAGTATGAGGATCACACCTGATGGTGAAAGTAACACGTTCTATTCGCGATTTATTTCAAGATCAAGTTTGAAGCTCTGGTAGCATTCAACGTTTTATATTTCATTAATATGTTGTGGTGAAGTAAGTCTCTATGCGAACTCCTATATGTACAGCACCAGTGCCTTCATCCTCATCTAACTAAAGACCTTATTTATCCCCCCACCCCCCACCCAAAAATTCCCCACACAGAGAAGCTCTGCCTCGAGCGTTTCCATTCCAAACAAGCCAACAATGTGATCCAAGAATCCTCCCAAAATGTCGTTCCCACAAAATAATTTCCCCCCCTCTCCAACTCAATCCTCAAAGGTCCCATGCTACCGTAACACGTTTATGCAATGGTGGCGAAACCAAAGCGTGGCACACTGGCATCGAAAATGCCGTAGTAAGCATTAAAGAAGACATCACCATAGATGTTCTGGCTTCCACCACCCACACTTTGGAGGCCCCCGTAGCAAGTACTGCCATCAATGCTCTCAAAGTTCAACAGGCTACCCGGAATAGTAGCATAAGAAGTAGAACCGATACGAACAGACAAAGATGGAAGAGTAGCAGAGCAAGGGAAGACCCATCCACCATAGGTATTGGAGTTTTGGGCACCGGAAACAGAAGCATAATAGGTATTCACAGCAGAATCGACCATGAGGACGAGGGTGGTTCCAGTGTCAGCAATTCCAGTGTTGCCGGAGAGTGTGTGGGCTGTGCTGCCAACTTTGTAGCTCGTGCTTGCGAACTCCCAGAATCCCCCAGAGGAATCGACGTTGGCGTATGCGATGGAGCCCTTGTAGTGGGAGGAGTCGAGGGCACCAAAATCGTATGCGCCATTGGCGTTGAACGGGAGATAGGCAGCGAATAGAGGAGAGTCGAGAGTGGACTTGGCGTTGTCGAAGAAAGTCTTCTGTTGAACGGGCTTCACAGTGTTGATGTTGCTGAAGGCGAGGCCCACGAGGCCATCTGCTTGGCCGGAGGCGAAAGTGGAAGAAACTTTTGTGGCTAACTCAACTGCTTGACCCTTGACAGAGGTTCCGCCAATGACAACAGTGTCGGTACCGACTGTACCAGATGCTCCTGAACCGTCCGCGTATTGGATTGACCACGTGTAACCGGACTACACAAATTAGCATTGGTACTTGGTTTCTCCACGATGAGAAAGGCTTTCTGAAATCGAGTAACTCCTAAACACAGGAGCTGCATAAAAGCTACACCTCGGCAAAGAGCGTCTCAAGCGTGGAAGCTCTCGAACTCAAGAATGGCGTGGATGCTACACAGTAACAAAAGTTGTCGGGGGTAGGACGGCCCCAAGACTCAAGAAGCGTGTATGTTACAGAAATAAGACAAACATACCAAAGCCTTGTAGGTGGAGCTAGAAGAAGCAGTATAGACATCATGGCCCTTCTTGGAAGTGGTGGATAATGATGAGGAGAACACCCACCTGAGGTATTGTTAGAATATGTATGTTTAAACCATAATAATATATTTGTCATTGGTGAGAAAGTGAACGGTAATATGAATTCATTGATACCATTCACTTGTGACCATGAAACCCGCAAGTCATGAATTATTGAGTGGAAGAAGTGGCAAGTACGAAAATGAACCTACAAATCGGCACTTCCAGTATCAAAGTCCAAGTTCAGCTTCTGACCGCCGATGCTGGTACTGACAAGATACTCAACACCTTCCGAAGGAAAGGCTGGGGCAGAACTATCCTGTCGCTTAGTAACCTTGGCAGCACTCAATTCGGCAAGGAAGGCATCAGAGAATTGGCCCTTCAGCGGAGTAAGGTTGTACTTGGCGTAAGCCTTGAGAAGTGCAGCAGTTCCATTACGATGGAAGTTGTCATTATGAACGGCGGCAGCAGAGAATGCTGTGTTACCAACAACTTCAGCTGCTATCGGACAGTTAGTAAGTTTCCATTTGAGTCACCTCACAATGACAGAGAGATGATCATACCAGGGGCCGGGGCTGGAAGGGCCAATGCCGTGGAGGCAAGAGCAATCATGGAGAGTGTGGAGAGCATTTTTGAAGTGGAAGTAGACAGGAAGCTCAGATTGGAGCCCTTACAAGAGGTTTAGAGGATTCAAGTGAATGATCCACACAGAGAAAGAGTGAGCGAAGATAGGAGTGAATGATCGAGATGATGAGAAGAAACAATAGGAGATCTTGTGCTACTTATATATCTTCAAGAAGCAACCATAACGAGAGACCACCAGCATCGGCTGGAGTACCATTATTGCCAACGGTCAAGCACAAGGCTACGGATAGCTTCAATTCTGATATGTCGATTAAGAAGCTTATTTCTCAGATTGCCCGGAGATGTCACCATTCTCATTGGCGTGGAGCATCCGAAGCTGATGTTTTCCTAAGGTACTAGTGTATACCAAGAAGGAGGCAACTCTGTGCAAGATGAGCTTCCCTTTTCAGGACTGATTACTTGACGAATGATAGAGAAAGGCAGGCACAATAAACTGATGATCTACCGTGAATCTGGTTGGAACGAACCTGGTGATCTGTAACTCGAAACACGGATACATGCGGTCGAAATGAGACCCCGCTACCGGCACTCAACCGAAACCTATAAGGAGAGCGGAAGCCATGTCGAGGAGCAATTTAGGGCTAGGTAGGTTAGGAAAGCTTAAATAATTTTTGTGTAGATTCGGATTTCGTCTCTGATAGGAAGGTGGTCAGTTGCAGTTCCTGAGGCTACTCGGTCCCTTGGGTGAAATAGCCACTTGAAGGTTAAATGCCGTTCTGATAGAAGGACGCTAGAATCGATCGTACAGCGCCTATCAAGCTCGCACTCGCATGAAGGAACAACCTTGAGGAACGGAGATACATCTTATCTGGTTCAACCGGGATTCGGGAGGGCCGAGGGGTAGATGATCAGCGAATCATTCAGCCAGACAGCAGGATGGCAGGATATCGCGATTTGATGTCGTCCTTTGTCAGGTACAACACACACATCTTGGACATGGATTTAAGGGTAGCTATGTCTATAGAACATCGTCAGAAACAAGCCTCTGTGGATGTGGAGGGAAATCGGCGGAGGAGTAGGGTCGCATGCTTGGCTGGATAGTTTCTAGTTTTTCCGCTCTAGACATCCAATTGAAAGGCTGAAGTGCAACTGCCAAGATATCCTCGAAGTAGAAGTGTTCGATGTGGCGCAAGAAGCTTTTGCTGCAGATGGGAGGGGAAGGATGGTGGTCAAGGGTGTGGGCGTTGCTGGGAAGGTTGAGGATATTGACTGGTGGCGTAAGAGGGGTGTTCGATCGACATCGCGAAAGTGGTGGTTGACCTTTCATCTCATAGTTCGGCCTTAATCTGAAGACAGGGAACTGTCACTGAGAGGTGCTAAGCGCCTCTCAAGCGGTCCTTAAATATACAAGTCGAGGGTTTGATTTGGTAGAGCGTTTCTATTACAATATTTGTTTTCACAGAAGGCTGTGTCCAATAAGCATTGAAAACCAAAAACTGCATGTCAGCTCCGGCAAGCACGACTCGAGCGTTGACTTTCCCTAAAGGCTGCTGGCATATCAAGAAGAGCACGCTTGGAAAGGGGCCATGTTATTGGTTTATAGAGTAAGTGTAGCCCGCGAATCTCCCATATCTCCCGTTGCAGGGCCGAGGCTTCTCCCATGCTTCGATCAGGTACGAGATGTAGATGAGCTGGGGGCTTTACCATTATGGAATCCGTTCATATACATGTACTCTCTTCTGAATCCATGATACTTGCATATAGATATCACATCATATTGCACGAGTAGAAAGCTTGTTTTGCATGAATTCTCAAGTTCGGTACCGGCTTTAAAGACTCAAAGGGGAAGGAGTTAACTATCACGACAGTGGCAATTCCGTCACCGACCCTGAGCCTCGGCGCCCTCCGCTTTTAGTTCCAATCACATCCTGCATTCTTCTTGAACTGCAAGCTGGTCTTCCAAATTTTTCGAGAAAGTTATCCCGTTGCTCCGAAGCCTCCATGAATACTTCTGAAGAGGGAAGGTATAAAACCCACAGGCTTCGGAAAATCGCTGAAGATATTTGAATAATGGTCAAGTCAAGCTGAGTGATAGCTCGTATAGGTACACGGGACCACCTGGAGTAGGAGTATGATGGCCAGAAAGCGTCACCAAAGTCACATCACTAATGGTTTACCAGAGCAGACAAAGCAAGTAATTCAACGTTACATGATGTCAAAGGTCTATGAAGTGAAGTTGTAAAAATATCTGGAAATACATATGCAAGAAGTTTTGCTAAAACAGAAATCAAAGTATGCTGGGGAATGACATTCGCCAAAAGAGAAAAGGGACATATGACAAACAGTCACATCTCACAAGCGTTCCAAGCCTACCTTTTAGAAACAGAGCTTATACATGGCTTCCCTATGATTTTGATCAAGGTGGATGGTACAAAATATTCGAATTGTAAGATCAGCAATCCCCTCTGCTGGCTCTACACGGCCGTAACTCCCAGCAATGCATTTATCCCCATCCGCTAGTCAAACACTATTCATCACACGCCCTTTCGATTTCGATCTTCCTTTCTATTACGTTGAACCGGACATTTGATACCCATTCATCCTCTGCTCTTCGTGTTCAGGATAAGGGCCACAATAAGCCTGGTTTGTTAGCAAAGCGAAATTTTGGCAAGGAGACATGTACAAACCCGTAGAGACCCAGAACTTCTCCGAAAATGAGGATCAGCACCATTCCAACAAATATCCTCG